CTGCTTACCTCATCATGCTGGCACCACTGCACCACACCCATGCCCACACTCATGCCCATGTCACAGCTACACAATACTGCTCAAGCCATCCACATCTAACACCCAACAATGCTGCAAGCAGCTGAACAATTAGGTACCAATGTCTAATGCTACACTGATAGCAACATCTATAAACTACAATGATTGCTGGGGACAGCTCCCAACAAACAGGAGGGTAATTGTCATGTCAGACTCTAATGCTAGATTCTTTAGATCTTAGTAGCACACATCTCATTTGTATATAATCCCCCAATGCTGCCCCTGTTCTTACATGGGTCAGCAATGAGCTCTATCTACTCATAGCATATACTATATACTTGCTTCCACCACATATTCCTTTATATCCTCTACACTAGTAGCTCATTCCTGTTCTGATTATACATCCATTAGACCTAGCTTCTCACATATACTCATTAAGTAATTTTTTTAATTTAGAATTCTTAATAGAAGTATTCTTCTTCTCTTTCTCTTTCTTTTTCTTAAGTACATATAGAAAACATTTCATTATAGACTTTTGAAGTGCACATGCTAATTAATGAGTCATTATTAAATTAAATTCTTTAGCCTCAGCTAGCACATATCATCACATATTACAAGACAGTATCATGCAACACTGTTTTCTTCAATCAGTAATCAACATCATCAACAATTTCCAGCTTATATGCAGATCTCAATGTTACAGCCACATTTTTTCAAGAATCAAATCATAGTTAAAGTTATCAAGAACTCTGACAGCAATTCAGCATTTGAATAACTCAAGTTTAAGATAGAGATAGATTTAATAATTAAATCACATATATCTCTCATTTAATACTTAAATGACTTTTCTCAAAAGAATAAGCTTTGTTTCTATTCTTATTGCTAGATCTCAACTAACAAACTCAGTCAATGTTCTTAAATTTAATAAAACTCAAATTATTTCAGTTCTATTGAAATCCAGCATTACTATTTTTTTTTAATAAAGCATCATTTTTAATTCTGCAGTATTAAGATGTTCAGCATCTGTTGAAATTATTTCAGTATCAGAAGATTTTAACTTCAGAACTTCTGCTGAATTCAGCAGCTCAGAGAGATTAGAAATTTCATTAATTTAAGAGATTTTATAAAAAGCATCAGCAAGTATCTCTGCATTTACTAACTTCTCTCATTTCTTAATTTAATTTTTACAGAATTGTTTTTTTTCTTCTTTTTTTTTTTCTTCTTGTTCAAATTGTTCTTATCTGAGCATGTGGCTGAGTTATAGCTTCTCAGATTACAGATATAACAAGTCTTGTTTCTACAGCATTACAGTCATCACACCCACATATCTTTCTTCAGAGAATTCAGTCTTTGAAGTAGTGCATTGATTTCATTAATCTCTATATCATTAAGAATCACATTCATCACATTCAGATTTATAGCATCAGAGTCAGAAGCTTCAGCATGATTTCTTTAAATTAATCAGTCTTGCATTATTTTCATGACTTTTTTTATATCTTTCAACACTTTTACAATAGCATCTTTATTCACCAGCTTTTGATGTTTCCATTTCCATTCTGCCAGAATATCAGATTTCAGTTCATTCAATAATAACTGAATATAGACAGATTCTAGTAGCACATATCTGAATTCAATATATATCTGATTAAGTTTAATTAAGAAAGATTGAACATCTTCTTTTTGCTTTATACTCATAAAACACTTTCATTAATGATCATCAGCATTAAGTTCAGAGTATTGAGTTATAATTCAATTTTCAAATTTTCATCACATTATTAGTATTGTATAATTGTTTGTATCTGAGTTTACTAGATCTTCTTCAGCTGCCCATCATTAAGCTGTATTTTTAATAAGTCAGATTAAGACTAGAGTGACTTTCTGAGCATCAGTCACTTTTCTTTCAGTAAAGATTTTCTCTTAATTTCAGTATAATCAGCATTTAGAAAGTCACTTGTTGGCCACATTATCAACTATCTTTTCATCATATTCTTTTGATTTTTTAAGTTCAGAGACTTTTCAGATTGATGTCTTTCTGTTAATGTTTATTGCATTATTGATCAGTATATTTACAATCAGTACACTAGTAATTGAAGTATTAGAAGATGATATAGACTGTGTCTGTTTATTTAATTAGTTGACAAAAACAGTTTGCTGTTTCTTCAAGTTATTCAATCATCTGATTATTTCTTTTCTCATGTATCAGATTTTATTTTTCATGTTGTCTCAAATTCTGTCAGCTTGAGTCTTTTTCTTTTATTATTCAATATATCATGCTTCTGTCTCAAATAAACATATGACTATTTCCAGCTGTCTATTCACTGCAGCAGATATTTTATTATTGATCACACATTTTCATAAAGTCATCAATACATTACAGATTGCTGGATGCTTCAGAAGATGTGATTCAGTAAAGTGACTTGAAATTGAGATTGAAGCTTTTAAGTTAGTCAGAACTTCAAGATCAGAAGTTATTTCAATATTATTTAATATAAGATGCAATGATAAATATCAAGAGTTGATAATTATTATGAGATATAATAAACATTTCTCTTGCAGTCATGCTGCATGAATCTGATCAAAAAAAGTGAGATATTTATTATCAAGAAAAACTCTGTTAAGATTCTGAATTATTAAGATAGTTTTATAAAAAGAAGTCTCATCAGAGTTCTTTCAGAGTTCTAAGTTAAGTAGCACAAGCAGATTCTCAAATTATAAAACAGAATCTTTTGATCACTCCATCAGAGATGTTTGCTCCACTAAAGAAGCTTCACTTTCAATGAGAAGAACTTGACATGCTATCAGATGTGATATGAGAATAAATAGACTGCAAAGAAGTAAGAGTAGTACTCAGGTTCAACTCAGACTCAACTCAACTGAGTCTGATTCAAGTCCCAGATTTATTCAACTTGGGCTTGACTTGGTTTCAATTGAAAAAATCAATTCAGAACAAGTAGTACTTGGTTTCTACTTGAAAATCAACCAACTTGGTGAATATTGGTCTTATGATGATGAGACCTAATCCATTCAAATCATCCCTAAATATTCTATCTAATGCTTATTTTTCCATAATTTTAGGATTTTTCCTCAGTTTTATACAAAGGTCCAAAGATAATGAACTAATCTTTTCAAATCAGGAAGTGAACTACTGGTTTATTCAATATTAAATTCAATTCAAATGATAAAAATATGAAAAAATAACCATTAGATAGGGAATTCAAAAAGGATTTGAAAGATACATGTATCATGTGATTAAACCTTATTTTGGGCCAATGGCATCATGGTTTTTCTATATACTCTATAAACTCAAGTAAAACTTGGTATCAACTCAGACTCAACTCAATAACTTTCAAGTAGGGATTCCAGCCAACTTGAAACTTGTTGAGTTGTGTAGCCTATCATGGCTACTCAGTTTGACTTGGACTTGTTTGCAGTCTAAGAATGAAAGATGAATTGATTTCTCTATACTGAGAGGAAACTAGACTATCTATATATATGTACAACAGTGGGCCTGATGCTGGTAGGCATTGGGAACCATCAGGCTTCATAAATGAGATCTATGCCTGATAGAGACTAGACTAAAAAAGAAATATACAATATTATACAATAGACAGTGCTGAAACCACAGAAAGAAGCAAGAAAAAGCAATGAAAATGATGCTTCTGTATGAATAAAGAGACTTGGGATATCAACAAGATTTTTACATATAAGACTGATAAAGAGGTTAGAGTCATGATCTGAGCTGCATTTAGAAGAAATACTGGCTCTATTATTGTCAAAGTTTCTGAAGATTCAGATAGTGTCTATAAAGATGCTACAGCAAGAAGTTATATACAAGTTCTCAACAATCATCTACTGAAATTTCATGAGAAGAGTCAAATCTTCATACAGGATGGTGCCCCCATCCATACAGCAAATTCTGTGACTCAATGGCTTGAGGAATGGAAGATAGAGACTCTTGAATGGCCATCATACAGCCTGAATTTGAACCTCATTGAATACTGTTGAAAAAGACTTAAAGAACAGATGTATATCAATCATTCAGAGCTTCTTGATCTTTCTAGAGATTCAGATGCAACTAGAGAAGCTATATTCACTGTAATTCAAGAAGTCTGAAAGGTCTTTCAATCTGACTTCTTTCAAATCTTGATTGACAGTATGCCATGCTGGATTGAGGCAGTTATCAAGACAAATGAGTACCAAATCAAATACTAATTTATATAATCTTCTAATATGTAATGGTACACATGTTTATCTATAAAATATCTGAAATTCAATGTATATAGACCTCTGGTTGTCAAGTTGTTCAATTCTCAAGAATCTCTATATACTAGTTGTGATGTATTTTTTAGTGGGGGGTGCAGACACTTTTGACAAGTCACTGTATATAATAAAAATATAAAACTTAAAGAGATTTGAGCTGGAGACTGAAAGAGTGTGTGGTTTAAATTTCTAAGCAAGAAATTATGTAACTAATTGTTGAGTTATGATTGAAGAGATGGATTTCCATCTGAAAGTGAGAATATTAACTTCATCATCCTATTTCTCAACCACCACACCAAATCTTGCTGTGAAAATGAAAGAATAGGGTGAATAAGATGCAAGCTTTCAAATGAATGTGGTTTTATTCAATTCCAACCAAAATTGGGGGAGTTGTGGTTTTCTGGTGTTTGATGAAAGAAATGATTGATACTTGATTGCATCTAGATATTTTAAATCTAAGCTATCAGATTTGTTTGTTAGACTACAGTGGCCAATAAATTAAGAAAATAGATAAGCAACAGCTGACAAATTACTAGCTAATTGGTAAAGAATGGAAAGTATCTGAAACCAACATGATTCAAAATACTGGTAGCAATATCATACATTATCAGATGGGTAATGTCACTCAAAACCATTAACATTAGGATCACTTGGCCCGGGGGGCGCCTTGTTTGCTAGTCAGCACTGGGCTCAAGGGGCATATCAACCTGGCTCACCATTAATCAAAGCGGCTTTGCCAGAGCACCAGTTGATGGCATGGCCTTAACGAGGAGAAAAGCTTCGTTCCAGATATTTTCCTCGGCGTCCCTATAACCATTCCCATCCGGGCCAGCGCCCAACGCAAACCCAGCCAGCATGGGTCGGAGTTCTTCGCCTAGACTAAGAGTAAACATTCTGCCGCGCGTTCCGGTGACAGCCAGTCCGTATACCATGGGACCAGCATCAAGGTCAAGATCCTCCAAGGCATAGTTACAGTAGTCCCTTAGTTGGGCCTCAAGCGCTGCAATCTGTGACTGCGACTGGTATATCTTTAATCTTTTAGCTTCGACAACGATAAGCCGAACCTTTTTGCGATGGGCGGCTTTAGCTGAAACGATTAGGTCGCAATATTTGGGGCTCCCATCTTTGGGGGGCTGCTGCGAGTTCACGTAATAACCATTATCATGCTTGATGAAGACATCCATAAAAAAACCTTCCCAGAATTCGGTTGTTTTTGATTCTCGTAAACCCAAATCAGCATCTCGAGTTTCTTCCCATAGCTCCTCCCTGGAGCGCGTTCGAAGGAGACCACGGGCTTGAAACGACATCGCTGCTTGTTGGTAGGGGCACGAGTCAAGATACTTGCAAACGAATCAGCGAGACTAGAGGGGTTTGTGGACGATTGATTGAATAGAAGAACCAGGAAATAAGGGGCAGGAGAAGGTCGTAGTCCTCTACAGAGGGAACAGGTAATGACAACATGGGGCTTCCAAAGGAATCTATAAGTAAACCATTCTCCCCACCTGCGGCATTTAAGGGTAAGGAGGTGCCTTTGGATTATCCGGGCGAGATCAAAATCCAGCTCCATTCGTATGTAGCAACCATCACAGCGTTTAAGCAAATTTAGGGCGCTATTGGCTACATCCCTGAGGTGTGGACGTAGCCAACATTCTGAGCGGCGCATAATGTTCGGGGTCCGTGCACCAAGATCATCCCAACCGTTAAAAACCGCCGAACGTCAAAGAAATCAGAGGCGCAGACTCTCAACGAGTCTTATTGTAGCATCATTGCTCCATGCTCTACTTTCCATAAGCCAATCTGTCTCCCTCGCTTTCCCGCGATTGTCGCAAATTGACAATCCTGTTCCTTATTTCCAGTAACAGAGGCATCCAGATAGATTCCCAGGATGCCGTCAAGGTGTTCTGGGTCTAGGCTTCGCGCGTCACCGTAAATATGACAGGCTCAGGGGCAAAACGGCGGAATTGGCATGCATAAAATGCCAAAATTCCAAAATGGGTGGGCCCGCTCACCAAAGCCGCCGGAGGCCCACATGAGTCCGGCAACATACTCACCTGGGCCTGGAGTGTAGTGAGACTCGTGAACGTATTTCTGAGGCACGTCGACGAGCGATTTCTTAACAGAGAACCAAGTTGAGCGGCCGCGGTTCGTGGTCAGCTAGAAATTGAAACGAGTTGGAGAATCATATTAGCATCAATTCTCATGAATAAAGCTCGATATGGTTGGAATGAAGATAAAAACAACAGGGAGGAACTGGGATATATACCGACACGACCGGAGCTAGCGGACCGGCGGACATTGTAGTGATTGTGAGCCCAGTGATGTGCTCACCGCCAGCTCCATCAACGGGGAAATGCATTGGTGTTCCCCGTTTCTCGCCAAATGAGATAATATTCGGCGTGGCATTTGGGTTGTTTCCTTCCTCGTAGGAAAATTCAAGGCCCACGAGGTTCCAATTCAGGTGCAAAACATATCCTGTAATGCCAGTCAGAGAATCTCGTGTGTCGAAGACATGGTAATGGACAGGATTGTATCTGATATTCCAGGGGGTCTGCCGGGGCCTGAGTATTTTGTGATACATGTGACGTTCTAGATCCACTGTCACATTATCTGGGGGCAGGCGGCTACGCCAAAGCACATGGCTGCGGCTATCTTGCGGTGCGGTAAGAGGAGTGTCTACTCCCAAGGCAATAAGTTTGGTTGCCTAAACACAGCACAGTCAGTTAGTTCCGGTAAAAACCAAAACTAAACGGGAAAACCAGGAAACGTAACCACCAACATCAAAATGGGCGATCAAAAGCCTCCCAATAGGTAAAATCTCTTGAGATAATCTTCCCGCTGAGCACGGTTCAGGGAGACACCAGTCTTCCAGCCGCGATTTGTAACCACGCCAAGCCCACGAACACCCATGTAGTCCGTAAAGCAAATGATCTCGCGGACAGGCCCCCTTAAAGATGTGTCAATTTGAAATGATTTGCTTGTAGAACCATGGTAGTACCCCAGCCCAGTACGGCTATCATTGAGTCGAAGGCCGCTTATATATTGCTGACAGCCAACTTGAACAGTAGATATATGCAGTGCTTTTATTTGATCAGGCGATGGCAAGCTTAGTCGCATTCGATGGGCGGAGAATCCATCTGTCTCTAGGAGGATTGGATCAAGAGGTTCCCCTTCGTCCCCCTCCACTGGACAATCCACGTATTTCGAAGCCAACTCAATTGTGCGGTCGGCCACCGGTAGAATCCGACGACGATTTCGGATAGGCGTCCCAACCTCGGGCGACGATAGCAAATCTCTAGCTTTCCAAAACAGTGTATACCAATGAACATCTTGGTTATGCCACAAGTCCCTAAATTCGAACAGGTGACCAAACTCCATTCCAAGTTCAAATCTAGACCTCCAAAATCTCTGAGGAAAGAAATCGGGGACACTGGGAGAGGCAATCCAGAAGTTGAGAATGTCTCGAACAGAGAGCTGCTCCATGACCAAATAAATAATTTCCAGTGGAAGGGCGTCAAAGCAAGGTTTTGAGCCAAGCGGATCAAGGGATCTAAACAGACATGCTAGTTCTCGTGATTTGCGTTCCCGGCCAAAAACCGGCCTTTCCTGCATTCGGGGAACCATTTTGGCTCGTGCGCGTTTGATGAAGGCGGTAACGGCCCCGATATCGAATGGATTAAAACACGCGTCGTATGCGGTGCTAATCCTTATTTCACCTTGGCGCGCTCCAGAGTTAGGTGAGGCACCGTGAAGGACACGTTGAGAAATCCAGAAAAAGGAACTCCATACCAGCAGGGCCTAGAAGGCCTCCATAATCACCACTCCAGACCTGGCCTGTACCATCCAGTGTTGAATTGTGAAGTTGAAATAAGAAATCCGTGTAGCGAGCATCTGTCAAGTCCTCTATGCCTTGTAATTGTGCCTGGCGATGCAGTAACTGCCAACATGCGTGATGGATCGGGTAGCCGACATCTAATGGCCCTGGTTGGTAATGCGGCGGTAACCGAATCTTAAAGCTAATCCTATCGCTGTCCTGATAGTCGCCATCGTCGCAGGATTTGGCGGGGTCTGACGGGGCATGGCTGCCATCCAAAATATCGCCAGGTCCCAAATTGCGTCCAACTCCGGTGAGGAAGGGTTCGTGAGGATGGACTACAAGGCTCTATTAAAATCTTTCAAATTTTAGACACACAACACCACCTACATGCCCGTAGATCACTCAGCCATTCTGAAGGTGCATTACAGGAAACTCCGTGCCGTTCGAGGTTGGCAAAAAGTGTTGGGATGTCTGGCCGTGCGATGATGATGAAGCCGCATATGGAGCAGGGGAACTTCAGCAGTATATGAGATGTCAACTTCGGCAACGGCATGCTTTGAAAAGAGAGCCCAAGCCTGGTGTGGGATTCCGCTGCTCGAGATATTATGCCATTCTCAAAGACGGAGTTCCAGAAGGTTTCCGACCTTCTCACAGAGTACCTACTGAGGTCAAAAACGAGCGGAGAAACGTTGATCCGTTGAATCACTTCCAGCCGGGCTTCCTCCACTAAAGAGAAGGATTATTATGAATAAACCCCATACCTGACTACAACACCAAGGAATGTTCATGGGAGAGCAAAATTAGATTTATGTGGGTTAACAATACGATGTCATGAAAATAGGCGATTTTTAATAGCATTCAATAGTAGCAAACGCGCAACAAGTCCGCAAAGTAGCTACATCGGGCAGCAAAAACCGGACATTGGCAAAGCTGCTTGTGCTCGACCTCTCAATAAGCTGCGCCAGCGAAACTAATCCGACTTCCCTCCTTCAGAGTGAGCATAGAGCCTTTTATTTACCATGCTAAGACATATACCAGATAATCAAAATATTGGCAGCAATACAGTACATTATCAGAGGGTACTGTTACTTAAAACCATTAACGCCAGCCAACGTCCGAGACATTTGAAACATGTCTACACTGGGTCATCACGATATTCAGCTTCCACTTGGTTCACCCTCTCGTCAAGGATATTTCTGCGTCGTTCCATATCAGCAGCCCAGAGGGCCGAACCGACCGATGTACTGAGAAGAAAGAACATTGAAAAGAAAGGAATTAGCTGCAAAAGAAGGGCAATAATGCCGAACCTGTATGCTGAGAATTAGAACCGCGTTTGGGAAACCCCAGAGAAACGTGGAGAGAGAGAGAGAGCTCTTACATTGTATACCTCATCTGTCTCCGTGAAATGAACTCTTTTCTCTCAGCTTTAGTAAAATCGCGGAGCTGGAAGTACCTCCAGTGGTGGAACGGACCGCCCCGATATCCTGTAAGAACAAGAAATAAAGGCGTTCCAATTACTGGAACCAAGTTCAACGGTAGGAGCAGAATGAATTCCAAAATCTGCCGAAATGAAAACGGTGCGTATACCGCACTTGTGCTCAGTTTGCCTAGCATCTTGACCGGATCTCCAGCTTCCGGGTGTAAGAGCCTTGTGGCACCGACCAGGTCCTTGTTGCCTTTTTCGATGAGAACAGCATCAAACACGTCGACCTGGGTTTCATCGACGAAGAACGCCTCGAAAAGAAGGGCGACGATGGCCGCACCCTCGCCGAGGACAAGGAAGGCCCCGTTGATCCAGGCACCGACCCATCCATGAAAGATCGCCAGGAACGCGACTTGCGGCACATATGTGAATAAGAAGAGAAGGGTATATATAAATGCGGAGAGGAGCGCTATGGGGAGGAGCCGAGCGTGGAATAGGGGCCAGAGAAATCGATGTCGGAGAAAATATACAATTCCCTAGACAGTGTGCTTAACGGGTGTTGCGAGTGAAGAGTTACATGAGCCAAAACTCACCATGAGAGGGTATATCCAAGTCGCGCTACGCATGTTAAACAGCTTAGACCTCCTTCTCATAGAAGGCCGTGTATCTGAGGGCGGGTGCTCCATGGTTGATACTCTGCTCGTTTGGCTGCCTGTCGATTCAGCGAGCTGGCGATGATGTCAAGTTGGTCGTCGGTTATCGATAGCAGGATGACTAATGTCCCAGCCCCCAAACTCAATTCTTTTCTCTTTCTCTCTTTTTCTTTTTCTTTCTCTTTTCCTTTTCTCTTCTTTTTTCCCTCAACATAAAACTGACCCCTTCTTATTCACTCTGGCTTCCCACCAATCCCCATGGACTGTCTTGGAGGGGAAATAGAAGGGCAGAGAGAATTCCTACCGCTGACTTACCCCGAAACTCCTCTTTCTCCGTGGAGCACTTTGGAAATACAACCAGCGACACATCTCGACCAGCCGCGCCTTTTGCGGAGGCTACTCGCTAATCAAGAAAGGGGCGAGAATGTGGCCTCACTCATTCCGTGTCTCTAGCTACTGATAACCATTTATTGTGCCATGATGCTCCTCTTCGTAGCCATATCATTCCATCTCTGCCATAACATCGATTATATAATCATTTACTAATAGTAGTTATCACGTGGATTTACCCAGATAGCTGACTAATCAAGCTGGACATCTCGCTCTATCGTGTTTGTATCGGGCCAGAGGCAGATTGTCAACGTGGAAAGAGTGCAGCATCATCGGCCAGAGGGAAATGATGCGAGGATGCAGATCAATGTCAGTCTTCTGGCCCGAGAATCAAATAACTAACTGTGTTGAGCCATGGAATCGTCGCCGTTGACTTTGGTATTGAGCCCCACCGTCTACATCTTCAATCTCCGTCGACTGACCGGTCGTCTGGATCCCAGGCACATTCCCATGCGCGAAACGCGCTTGTGGAGACTCGCAAATCGAACCCCGTAGCTGCAAGCGAAGAGCATGACCTCGCGGCTGGAGAATTTGCGACAGCCGCTCAGAAGACTTTAGACAAGAACGTGAGGTCCCCGCATCCCGTATTGCGCTGGAGAGCGACCGGATTCACATAGTGTATTCTGGGCTAGGCTTTACGGACCCTTCTTCTTCTCGAACAACACCACAAGCGTCTAGCGAAAATCATCCGATTCCAACATGAGAATCCTGTGCCGGCTTCGTCGCCTGAGCCCACCGCCCCGGCCGCCACTCCCTCCGTAACATCACCAGCAGCCCCGAATACACCGTCCAGATCCGCCCCCTTTACAGCGCTTTCACCTCCAGTGGTGCAACAGCCACCACGGCTGCAGACTCCCATTCGTACTGGTGGTCGTGAGACAACCTCTCTCGCAAGCAATCTTGCGTCCGCGCGCGGTATACCCGCTTATTCACGTGGAAGCCCTGCCCCGCCAACCCTGTCGACGCAAAATGAGAATGCAAAGATGGCTGAAATGACACATAAGCCGAAAAGAGGTGGCACTGAATATAAACAAAGTCGTTCAAAGCGTGGTTCAGATTGGACACCATCTTGGTCGCCAGCCATTAGTCCCACTGAGGCTCCTCAAAAGCACAGCCCAACGCCGGATAGTGGGAGAGATGTTTCCGCAGCATTAAAATCCCTTGCTGGCGATGAACCATTTCGGCGATTTTACTCCACTTTTGGGGGATTGATATCAAAAATGTCGGCGCCCCTTGCTTTTGCTAGTCTTCCTCTTGGGGTCGATGTTACTGGCCAACACTCCCCTACCGCAAGTAAATCCTCAGCGGACACAAAGCTTGATCGATATTCCGTAGCAGCGGCGGACTTGACGCATTATTCTACGAATGAACTAGACGTCAAGAAGCTTGTGTCTAGTGCTGCACTTCGAGCCATCAGGGACAAAGACGGTTATTTCTCTGGAAATAGCTCAGAATCATTTTATGTGGTGCCAACTTCCGGTGGGATGATATCATACGCAGGGATCCTTTCTCGTGCAGAAAGGGAAGCACGAAGAAGTAGTTTCGACGATGATGAAGATACATTCGTCGATGCGCGTGAAAATCCTCCCTCGCCAGAAACTAAAAATAGCATGAGCCGAGATAAGAATAAAGGCGTCAGGCGAGATGGTCGTTCTACTCCAAAAACAGCGTCATCCGCTGCCGCAGCAGCCTCTAGAACCGCCAAAACGAAGGGACCAACTTCTGATAGAAAACAAGGCTCTCAAACATGTGGCCGAT